GGCGGGTGGGGCGCAGAGGGGGCGGAGGGGAGGCGCCAGGAGGAGAGGGGGAGCAGGAAGCGCAGGTCCCAGAGGCAGAGCGCGGAGCAGGAGGAGGCGGCGAGCAGCCACAGGCCGTGGTGCGGGTCGGGCAGCACGTGGGTGGGCGCTCCCAGTGCCGCGTGCAGGTGCAGCGACAAGGCGGGGCGGGCAGCTCGCATGTCCCACAGGGTGATGCCGCCGTGCAGCGAGGCGACGAGGAGGAGTGCGTGCGAGGAGGAGAGGGGGTTGCAGGAGAAGAGCGAGGAGGAGGATGCAGAGAGGGAGGGCGGGGTGGCGCCCAGGGTAGAAGCCGTCCATGAGTGCACGGAGAGGATGGGCCCTCTTGCCGCACCTGGGGCGTGGCTGGAGGGGGAAGACCAAGAGGCGGGCTCGAGGGAGGCCATGCGAGTGATGCAGCGGTAGGAGTCGGGCGAGGAGAGGAAGCGCGGCGCATAGTCCACGTGCACCACATGCACCTCCCCACTCGCATACCCCACCGCTGCTGTCGCACTGTCCCCCATCACCGCCACCGCAGTCGCCTTCCCTGCCCCTGCCACTGCTGCTCCCCCCGGCGCGTACGTGAGTTTGGAACGAAAAGCGGTACCGCGGTCAAGGCGAGTGGCGTCCCACACCTTGACAGTGCCGTCATGCGAGGCAGTGGCGAACCACTGGCTGTTGCCCGCCACTGCCAGCGCGGGCACGGCCGCCCGGTGCTCGTGCAGCTGCGCCACCAGCACCCCGCGCGGCCGCCATGCTGCTGCTGTGGTGGAGAGCAGCGAGGGGGATGCGGGGAGCAGAGCCATGGCGGCACCGTCGTCCGCACTGCCCCACCCCAGCAGCCTCTGCACCTCCCTGCTCACTGCTGCTGCCCTTCGTTCCCTGCTCTCCTCTGCCTCTGCGCCTGCTGCTTGACCCGCTGCTGATGGTGGTGCTACCTGTGCTGCTGCTGGCAGCTGTGCATGTCCCGTGCTCCCCGCACGCACCCCACCTGGTTCCACGAGATGTGGAGATGCAGACGTGGCAGATGACGTGGCATTGACATGGGCGGCACTACGATCATCCACGGATGATTGAGCTTGACTTGCTGCACGTGGTGACACCTCGCCCCCAGCACCACCACCAGCTAACGCCCTCGGCCTCTCCAGTAGGGCCGCCGTGTGACCCTCCCTGCCTGCCGCAGGCAAACGTCTCTCCATCTCGTCCTCTGCTCTGCCTCCCTGCCCAGCCTCTGCTGCACACATGGTGGCAGGTCCAGCAGCAGGCACGGCAGGGGGGAGGGTATGCGGAGCCGGGGAGGCGGAGGGACGGAGGGTGGAGGAGGAGGGGGGGCGGCGAGAGGAGCGGAGGGAGAGGGAGAGGGAGGAGATGCGGGTGTGGGGCTGCGTGGTGCCCAGGAACACCAGTGAGTGCGACACCGGCGCGGGGGGCGGAGGGGGGGGAGGGGGGCCGCGCAGTGTGTGGGGGAGGAGAGGGGCTGTGTGAGGAGGGAGGGCGTGAGAGGGTGGGAGTGACGTTGGGGTGCTGGTGGGCGTGGTGGCGGCATGTGGCGTGGTGGGTGGTGGCAGGGACGGGTGGGAGGCAGAGTGGGAGGTGGAGAGAGCGGAGGAGGTGGGGGGGGGAGAGGGGAGGTCGTCAAGCGAGTCAAAGGCAAAGGGGAGATCAGCGGGCGATGAGAGGTGAGGTGCCGGTGGATGAGTGGAGCTCACAGCAGGAGCAGCAGTGGACTGCTCGCATGTCCCCACAACAGGACTGCTGGGTGCTACAGCAGGCAGAGATGTGGCATGCGAGCAGGAGGAAGAGAGTGTCGCGGTAGCAGGAACAGATGGTGAGGCAGGCGCACGCAGTGGGGCAGCAGCAGCGGCAAGAGTGGCAGCTTGTGCGGCTGCCAGCGCGTCCAGAGTGGGTTGCCCTGTGCCGCCCGCAGAGGCTGCAGCAGCCGCAGTGACAGCCGCAGCGGCAAGAGTGGCAGTGGGTGAGGCGGAGGGTGAGAGTGCTGACGGGGGGCGAGGCAGGGAGGGCGGAGAGAGGGTGGTGGAGGGAAGCGCAGAGGTGGAGGGTGCAGTGGGCAGGGCGGTGGCGGGGTGGGCGAGTGAATAGAGCGGCACCGCGAGGGGTGGGAGATCCAAGGCTGGGTGGGACTGTGCGTGTGGGCTGGCAGGGGCGAGAGAGAAGGAGACCGATGGGGAGTGGGGTGAGGGGTGCGACGAGGGAGAGGGGAGAGACGGGAGAGAGGGAGCAAGGGGAAGGTGGATGGGAGCGAGAGAGTGTGTGGAAAGGGGTTGGCGAGTGGTGGAGGAGGGGAGAGCGGAGGGCGGGTGGACGGTGAGGGGAGGAGGGGGGCGGTGGAAGGACAAGGAGAGCGAGAGTGGGGAGGATGCGGGGCGAGGGGATGGGAATCGAACAGGGTGGAGTGGGGAGATGGAGGGGTGGAGAGGGGGAAGGGGGGGGACGAGGAGAGAGTGAGATGCAGAGGCAGGCAGGGGAGTGTGGAGGGGTGTGGAGGGCCAGTGAGCGGTGGAAGCAGGCGAGTGAGTGGTGGCAGGCCATGGTGCAGTGGAGGGGAGGGGCGGCCAGGGCTGCCCCGTGTCGGTGCGCATGCTGGCAAGCGCAGCAGCCATGGCTGGGTATGGCGCTGCTGGTGCTGCTCCGTGTGCGGGGGGCACAGCATATTGCATGGAGAGGGAGTGAGCGAGTGTCGACGAGGCCACGTGCTGTGCTGCTGCTGCTGCTGCTCGCCCACTCGCCGCCTGCCCTCCCATCGCCACGTCCCTCCCCTCCTCCTGCCCCACCGACCGCTTCCCTTGCATGTCTGCTGCGCCTCCTTCCCCCCGGCCCACTGCTCCCGTGTCTGCACCTTGCTCATCCTCGCCGCTCATTGCACCAACTCCTCTGTTGCTACCATGCTCGCCCACACTCACACCCGCACCTGCAGCAGCACGGCCAGCCTCCGTTTCGCGCGCAGCAGCAGGTGAGAGCGCATGCGGCACGCGGAGGTCGGGCGCTGCTTGATTTGCACTCATCTGCCACGACGCCACAGCTGCTTGGGCTGGGAGGGGTGGCTGGGGGGGGACAGCAGGGTGGGTTGACAGGGGCGCCTTGAGCGCAGCAGCGAGGGAGGCGGGGGAGGTGAGCAGCGCAGGGCGGTAGCGCAGGGAGGGGGAGAGCAGCGGCAGCAGCAGCGCGTGGGCGTCAACAGCCGACAGCTGACCCGCCGCAGCCGCTGCAAACGCCACAGCAGCGCCCCTCACGTCCCCCTCAGGGTGCCTGAGCAGCGGCGCTGCATGGCGTGCGGCTGACAGCAGCCACCGCCGCTGCTGCAGGCGCTGGGAGCGCGCGAGCTGGGCCAGGCACGCGGCAGCAGCAGCAGGCACGGACGAATGCGAGGTGTCCCCCAGGGCTTGCTCGAGGCAGGGCAGGAGGAAGGCGGGCAGTGCGGAGGGGGCCACATGCGGGCAGAGCGCGGGCAGCGTGTGGAAGAAGGCAGCGCGCACGCGGGGGGAGGGGTCGTTGAGGAAGGTGATGAGCAGGGGGAGCAGTGCCGTGGTGGCGAGGGGGGGGCCGAGGAAGACAGCGAGGGAGGGGGCGTGGTGCAGGAGGGAGAGGCGGATGGGGGGCGTGCTGCGGGGCAGCGTGGAGAGCTCCTCCACCGCCACTCGCACCGCCTCCCTCACCTCCGCCACCTCTCCCATGTGCTGCTCTCCCAGCCCCTCCGCTGCCGCTGCCAGCGCCTTGAGTTCCGTGAGCGTGGCGCCGCTGCTGACCCGCTGCTGGCTGGAGGTTGCTAGGGCCAAGCCTGGTGCACCGCTGCTGCTGTCATCGTCCCTGTCAGTCTCTCCACCACCCCACTCCTCCCATGCTGTACTGCTGCTTTTCCTCTCTCCCTCACGCGCCCCCTGCCAGGACTCCCCCTCGCTTCCCCCAGTGGCGCACGTGGCCCCTGCGGCGAGCAGCAGGAAGCGCAGCGCGGAGGCAGCGAGGGAGGGCAGGCAGAGGGCGAGCGTGGCGCGCACACTCTCATCGGGCGAGCGGGGGAGCAGCGAGAGCGAGGGGAAGAGGTACTCGGGGAAGAAGCGCGCGTCGGTGGAGGGGAAGCAGCGCACGCGCGCCAGCAGGCGCGTGAGCACGGTGAGCGCGGTGCAGCGCACGAGGGGCGGGCTGGCAGCCCCACCGGGGAGCAGCGTGTCGAGGGCGTGCAGCGGCGTGGCGGTGAGCCCGTCCGGGGCCAGCACGGCCACCAGGAAGGGCGCCACGGCCTGCAGACACACCGCGTGCGAGCAGTGCTGCGCTGCTGCATGCAGCAGCAGCAGGCAGTGGCGCCGTGAGTGCGGCAGGCGAGCGTTGCGCAGGCAGGCCGTGAGCAGCCCCACCAGCAGCACCATGGCGCTGCCGCTGTTGCCCACACCGCCCCCTGTGCCCTCACTCGCACGGCCCCGCGCGGCTGTGCTGCGTGGCCCACATGTTGGACCTCTCCCAGCTGCCTCGCCTCTCTCAGTGCCACGCATGATGTCGCCCCTCCCCACGCCATCACCACCTGTGCCATCGCCTACACTAACATCACAACCGGTGCTGCTGCTGCTGCCCTGCAGGCTCTCATCTTTCTCCCTCGCACTGCTTAGCACCTTCTCAGAACGATCGCCCTCCTCATCCCCCCTCAATTCATCACACCCCTCCACACCCCCTTCCACTGCAACCTCCTGCTCACCACCCTGCTCCCCATCCCCCCTTCCCAACACTCCACTCTCCCCACTCACTGCCTCCCCAGCGCTACCCTTCCCCCCCACCCCCTTCCCAATTCCCTCCTCTTGAGCATCCTCCCCACCCCCGTGCAGCGAGGAGGCAATGATGCGAGAGAGGGGCGGGTAGAGCTGGCGGGTGAGGGCGATCTGGGGCAAGGGGGAGGAGGTGAGGCAGGGCAGGGGAGAGAGTGGGAGGGAAGTGGAAGGAGTTGAGCCATGCGCGAGGAGTTGTCGCTTGAGACC